TACCCGTGGTGGGCAGAGCACAGATAGCCCTTGTGTAGCTTTGTGCATAATTACAAACAAAATCAACTTGAGGTAGATAGTTAGGTCTGATTTTAGCTATGTATTCATACTTGTAGCATCACATGTGTGAAAAAAAATGTCATTAGGTATGTTTAATTTAGGTAAAACTAACTACAATTGACGAGACAGTGTCCAGTGTGTCAACGGTAGGTATACGGACCTTCAACGCTAAAATTCTGAGATCGATTCTCCACGATGGATAAAGAACAAATAAGTCCATTGCATAGGTTAACGCTAAAAAAATTTACGGGGCAACAAAGTATAAACTGTTTATTTTAATGTATGTTAATTAAGCTTAAGCTTTTCAAAAGTTTAAAAAAAAAGTTTGTTCTTTATTTTTGGATATTTTGCGCAAAGATACTCAAGGGCGGGCTATTTGCACTTGCCGTCCATAATTTTGAACTAATAAATTAGAAGGAAAGTCAACAGCACCCATCGCCACCTCTTGGCCTACTCTTGCCTGACCAAATCTCCTCAATTATAACGTATCCAAGGCCCCAAAATGCGGAGCGTACTTTATATATATATATATTTTAGTGGTAACAAGACGCGAACGAGGGACGCTGATCAGTAGTTCAGCACGCTAATCAGGGAACCACGCTCGGACTGCTTCTGACAAACGTAGGTCACGTCTTCTGTTGATTACACCGAATAAGTCATATGCTCTTTTTTGGCAGAATGTTTTCTGCGAACGTTGCAAATTTAAATATATATATATATATATTTTTTTTTCATCGAATTTAGATAAATATATAAATAAAGTAAATCATCACGATAACGTTAATTACAAATGGAATAACAGATTTAAAGGTGTCTTCCCATCTGATAAAAGTCCTACACATTTTCAAATTCGATTAAGTCAAATCTTTTTAACAATTACTAGTTTCAATTCTCATTTGCTTTCAAGTATTTTTATTAAATTTTTTCATTGATGGCTTACTGTTGTAACGTAAATCTTAAAATCAGACATAAATGCTTCTGTTTTGTGGAAATTGTCTGCTCTCTGACATTTCTTGGTTCGGCAGTTCAGAGGTTCTCAACTGAGTACGTTTATATTTGGTGGAGTAAATATTTCCTTTGCGTATCGTTTTCACACGTTAAAAATGTACTTGAGAAAATATTAATTACGTCATTGTTCTTTGTCGTTATGTGTAAAATATAATATATTTCCTCCGATCGGTTCATTTTTTGAAGGTTTGGCATGGGCTGCTGGTTAAAGCGCTTGACTCGCAATCTTCGAGTCGCGAGTTCGAATCCAATTACTGAATATGCTCGCTCTTTCAGCCGTGAGGGTGTTATAATTTCACGGTCAAGCCCACTATTCATTGGTAAAATAGTAGCCCAAGAGTTGGCGGTGGGTGGTAATGACCTTTTCTTTGGTCTATCACTGTTAAATTAGGAACGGCTAACGCAAATAGCCCTCGTGTAGCTTTGCGCGAAATTCAAAAACAAACAAACTTAATACTATCAATAAATAAACTTATCCTATAAATGTTATTCTACGACATAATGTTAGACCTTTTTTTAAAAACTTTGATAAGTTTTTATTACGTTGCTGTACAAAATGTCTACTAAAGTATATTTACATCCTCCTTCTGTTTACATTTGCTGAAATTAAGTGCGCACGAATGCGCATTTAGGTAGTAAGCTGTGCGTCATTTTCAGGACAGATAGAACTGAATAGTATTATAATAGATTCTGCTGTCGAAGATCTTCTTGCAATAATAGCTGACAATAGCTGTTACATACAGGTATGCTTCCCTGAAGCTCAGTGATAAGTTGAGGGCTTGAGACGCAAAAAACTATGGGTTTGAT